CAAAAAAAAAAAAAAAAAGCACACCTGCCAAAAGAAGCGGCGCATATTTTTCTTTTGGCGGTTCAAGTTGACAGCAGTCGTATCGTGACGACCTTCTTTCAAGGGCGGGGGACAAACTTTGGTGCTCTAGAATTGTAAAGCGAGCCCGACCGTGCATAATTGAAAACGAAGAAGGCATGTAAAATAGTTTATTAAAAAAAAAAAAATTGTTAAAGCTAAATGAATAGAAGTTTTTTCAATGATTAAAAAAAAACCCACTAAATATAATTTAATGAACCAGTTCTCCACCACTGTCAAATATGAAGGCAACAATAAACACACGAAGGACAGATTTATTTCTCGGCATAAGGGTTCCGCTTTTCCAAAGTGAGCCGGTAAGAATGAAGAGACGGCGCATAGAATCGCCTCACCTTCGCCAGGTGACTGTGCACAGCCGAGTCTCTCCTCGTCGCTTCCTTGATCTTCCTGTTCTCTTCCAGCAGAGCTCCATGGCCCACCCGCCCATCCGCAAAACCGCAGCCCATTGAAGATGCCGCCCAGTCGGGAAGAGAAGCTCTTTTCGAAGCGTGCTGTTCGCTTTTGCAGTTGTCCGGGCACTGCTTCCTGTGGGCCTTGATTTGCTCCGGGATGGCCAGAGTCCCTTGAGTATGTTGACAACGGGGTCACGGAAAATGACAAAATGCGCCCCACGGGCGATTTTACGATCAACGTGCAGGAAAAGCTCACCTGGAGGTCCCGCTTTCTTCGTATCGCGTTTCTGGTTTGAGTGGAGCCTCGATGACGGGGCCGAAAAGGAGCCGGCGGAGTTTGGCGGCGCTTCTTTGGAAGATGAGCTAATCCTGATGTCATTGGCTGCCTCATCACTGTTGCAGCTGCAGTCCTCCTCATCCTCTGCGGAAGGCACAACATCAATAGGATCAGTCGCGTCGGCTTTGAATGATCCGAATGCAAACACCGCGAACGACGCCCGGGGACTTGCTTGACGGAAAGTATTGACAAGCGGACTTTCAATATTCCTTTGGCGTCTGCACGCGCTTTGAAAAACGGCGCCGATGGAAGAAAAATCTCGTCATTTGGAATTTTATTTATTTACAGCTATGACGATCTTGACAGAATTTGTCACACAGCTCTCGTACCGGATCGCCTGAGATTGCGTCGATGCGCCGAATGTCGCATGCCGGCCGTACGGCGGCACCAACGTGATCCGGAGGGCCACGAAAGTGAAAGCGCTCCCGGGACGGTCGGCCCGTAATAGTTGGCGGGTTCTCGGACCGCGGCGCATGTGACGGGAAGCCAATTTGGACGTGCTCGCACGTTCGCATCTGCCGACCTTGATTTACACGCGGGGCGTGCTCGCATCTGATAGTTATTGGCAGCTGCGCGCCGCCTCCGAGGGTCGTTGTCGAGTGCCGACACATCCCCGGCGCGCTTGTCACTCACGGTGCCGTCGCCGCCGCGCGCGCACACACACACACACACACACACACACACACACACACACACACACACACACACACACACACACACACACTCGCTCGGCCGCTATATGTCAGTGTCATCAAAAGGCCACAAGGTCAACCACTTTCTTCCCTGATGTCTTGCATCCTGCACAGTTGAAAGTGAGAAGTAAAAAAAAAAAAATGTTCCAAGTGCACTGAGAGGAATTTGTCCCCCTTTCGTTCACGGGAATCCTCTCTAAGCCGCGGGGGGTGAGGAAGAGCGACGGGGACATGGGTGCCACATTCTGAACAGCACCAGAGAGAGATCGTGTTGCCGTACGGTGGAATGGGGGGCGGGTGGCGACGAATCCGAGGAGGGTTACAAGAGGGAGCGGCGTCGCATGCCTGCGGCGAGTCGTTAACGGTTTTAACGCTGTGACACAAGAGCCGACAAGTGAGAAGAGGCCACTAATGATGGGAGACGTTTCACTCGCGGCTGCGCCGCGGCCACGTGCGAACAAATACCCGCTCTGGCACATCGACGCGCGCACCCGAGCCGGAATTCCACAACGGCCGGCCGGCTCCGTCTTCGCGGTCATCCAAATCCGCTCTTAACGCAAGAAAGCGACCTGTTTAAAGTATCATTTTTAGTCGCGTTTTATCAATGGTGGTCACATGATCCGTTCAGCCGTTTAACCCTTTCAGGGGCAGCGGGTAGTACAGTGGACAGCTTATGTTATCGGGTTACAGATTATTGGTGCATGAAAGGGTTAAGACGGGTCAGCCGTGACTGTCGTTTTTGCCGCCCGACTTTATTTGACATGAAAGTGTTTGTGCATACGTTTCCTTATTCCCGTGAGAAATCCATCGCAACAATCGCTATCTTCACCAAAGATGAATATCAGCAACGAATCAATCCAGGTTCAACTTTTGTCCCACTCACCATGTCCCGAGCTCTCGCTGTCACTCCTTTCCCTGACTTCCTGCTTGTCCGAGGCACGGTTCGAGCTCGGCATTTGGTTTGGGTCGGGGCTCATCAATGCCTTGGGTTTCCGCCCCCTTTTTCTCTTCACGCTGTGAGCGGCGTCCCGTTCCTGCTGAGAGTCTTGACAAGACAGCAGCAAGTTAGCTCCTCTTGGTAGAAAATCATCATTTGGGTGCTCGTCCGCACAGTCCCCACCTGTTCCTCCGTGTCCACAATGACTCTTTGGCCCCTCTTCCGCCCGGCAGTGCGGCGCGCCCGCCGAGGGTGCGGCGCGCTGGGCGTCGGCCTTCTGCTTCATCTGGCCCACCCGTCTGGCCAGCCCGGAACTCAGGGCGCTGGGCCGACCTCTGTGCTTGCAGCCCGCTTTCAACTGCGCAAGCGACACGGCGGCTTCTTATTGAGCAGGGTTAGAACACTTTTGGGGGTTTGGGGGGGGGGTCCGTGACGGTCAATTTTTATTTGACTTTTGTTCTTTAAGGCCCCTTAGTTTTAATGATTGTTTCTTTCCGAAAATGCTTCGTTTTGGTTACATTCGCTTTCGTATTAGTTTTAGTTTTCTAAGGCCCAGATTTCAGTTCATTTGTTTGGGACTTTTGTTATTATTTGACTACATATACTTCTTGTCACATTCATTTTTTTTCCTTTGTAAAGTCCGTTCATTGGCTCGATAAACTGCTCCCCGAGGGCCTGTTTGCATCATATCTGGTGATTGCTATGAATATATATCACACTTTGACTCGCCGAAAGCTTTTTTTTTTTTTTTTTTTTGGTCGTCCTGCATTAACAGACAATTTCTGAGGTAATTGCCACGTTGAGTTGACGAATCTCCGTCCACTAATCGAAACGTCACAGCGGAGAGTGGGCGCGCGTGTCCGCGGGACTGACCTGCGCGGCGCTCAGGCTGCTGAAGTCATGCTTCTTCCGCACTCTTTCTTCATCCTGTAAATTAACAGCAGCCCTGGAAAAACACATCAGAGAGAATATATCGAGAAAAGGTGTCATTAGGAGAAGAGAAAAATATATGTATGGCACACATTTGCGTCTGCACACCCGTCATTCCCGTCATTGTTACGTTATCCGCTCTTCGTTTTCCCCTCAATCGACCCTGTCTCATAACTTTGATGAGGGAAAATATTCGACTGAATCACCACATTAAAAGGTTGATGATGATGATGATGATGGTGCGTGCGTGTATGTGAGGAGGATGGTTTGGAAGAGGCGGGACCGTGCGAGATGAAGCAGTCTCCAGGGAGTCTGTCCGTTGACCGGAGCTTCGGGGCTCGATCAATAAACACTAACATCTATTGAACACTACACCGCGGTGCCTCCGCCCCCCCACCCGCCTCTCTCGCCGTGTCCTTCCTTCCTTCCTTCATTGTGCGCTCGCGCTTTCACACACACACGCACGCACGCACGCGGTGTTAGCAGCTGCTGTCTGAGGCATGGGAATCTTATATTCCCACAGAGGGAAGCGTTGGCCCTCGGCATCAAGTGAGGCCCAGTTATGAGGAATTTTAATGCCGCGGCACACAAGTGTTTGGAAAGCAGTTTGTGCGCAAAGCTTGACCTCGGCCCTTTGCAACAACTTTGGGCGTGAGGCGGAACGCTGACACGCGGGGGACGTAAAGGGGGTACGCCGACTTCCCCTCCGGCACCTTTCTGACGCACAACGCAAAGGGGTCTCAAACTTTTTGGGCTACGGGTCATCCTTAGAGGGAAGAATGTTTTCTAATTGAATGTAAGTGCCGTGGGAATGATTCGTTTTGGGACAAATTATAGCCAAAATATTCATGATCAGCTTCATAGGAAGCTAACCAAATCAAATTCAATATTTAGCCATAGTTCTGAGCTGGTGTGCTTCCACTAACAACATGGATGCCAACAAAGAGACATGGAGTCAATCGTTTTGAATATTGCCGCAAGCAAGGTGTCCATTTTTCGTTGCAAAAGCAGCGATTTATTGACAAAGCGAACGTTTTTGACCTGAGGTATGTGCAAATATGAGTCATGCTAATTCCAAAAAAAAACTAACGTATGGAAGAATAATGACGTATAAAGTATTTTAATGGCACGGCTAATTTGGGGGATCAAATTGCTAGTCCTTCGCATTCGCTTTTTGGTCGAAACATTTCCCCAAATCAAGCGCCCGTTGAGCGACGCAGTGAAAGAGGCGAGCCCGTTGTTGAGTATCCGTTTTGCCCGCGCATTGCCTCCATCGTTACGTCGTAAATGCACTCCCTACACAGCCGACAAGAGAAACGCATCAACAAATCGCTTATTCATAACAAAAGAAACGCTGTTCAGGCACGTTAACAGCCAGCTTAGTAATTAAACAAACTCTGCTTGAGCATGTGTGTGTCAGAGTGTGCGTGTGGTTAAGAATCGCATTGGCATGTGTGAGTAAAGCCTTTCATTGGCATTCCCATTAAGGTGTCTAATAACGGTAACCGTGACAAACCTTGAGTTTCTCTAATCATTTTATCTAGGCCAGGAGGGCGGGGGGGAGGCGGGGGCACAAGCCAGCGAAGGTGGGGCGGCATGAGAAAACATATTTATCATGAGGTGGGATGGAATACCGAGGGGGTGTTTGTCGTGTCTGTGGGTGTGCGTACAAATGCGTGTTAGCGCAAACACGCGTGTGCCAAGTAATGTGTGGCGGTATGCTGCAGTGGGCGCGGCCGGCGTCGAGTCGTTTATCACTGTAATAAGTGTACATCGGGACTTTGCCCGGCTATATTAATGCATGCTAATGGTTCACTGGGAAGCAGGGCATAATCAATGCGGGTGATAGATATGATTAAAAGTGATTAATGATGATTAATGAAGGGGCCTCGTCAGCTTCATCAGGACTCCTCTTGTATAAAAAAATTAATACAAATTCCTGCCGAGCGTATACACTCCCGTTCGATTTCGCTTAAGCCTGGCGTAGCGCTAACAACCACTGCAAAACGGGGTTAACATGCAAATGGCTAGCATTGATAATTGTGGCGTTTGAACCGTTACGGGAATGCATATCCGAGCGCAAACAGCGGAGCAACGCATGAGGACAGATAATACCACAAAACTCACATATTCTTTATCCCCCGCATAGAATGACTAGTATTAGCGCAATGTTATGGAGTGATACGTTCATTATTCAAAAATATTTTGTTGCCTTTCTTGCTGGGTTTTTTGAGGAGGCTGGAACGGATTAATGGTATTTCTATGTATTTCAATGGGGAAAGGTGGTTTCAAATTGTGTTTTGCGTTACAAAAGGTGTAAAAAAAAAAATTAAAGTCGTATCTCAATGCATCACTGTACGTCCTTGCCACCAAATGGCGCTAAAGCAACAATCTGCAATATGGCGCGATTGTGCCCAAGCAGCTCCTTCCGGCGCCCAATCAAGCAAATCACCAGCTATAGGTGCGCTGAAATCAATTCATTTGAAGGAGTATAACTTCTTGACAAATCAAGCGCGCCTTTCACTGAAAAACACAAACATAAATCAGCACCGGCTCACCAATCAGGCTGATTGTGCGGGCGCCCCGTCGCTGGACCTCACCTGAGTCTTTTGGAGGCGTCTGGAGCCGGCGCGCCGGGGGTGGACTTGCGCTTGCGGGGCCGTCCCGGCCCCCTGCGGGCAGGGCTGCGAGACGTCTCCTCTTTCCTGCGGGGAGGAAGGGGGGAAAAAGATGAGAGATTAAACGAGGACAGCGGGACAACTACACAGGGAACTTGTTCTGGCTGCAGGTCAAACTGTGTTCAGGTATGAGCAGGGAGAGGGCATTGTGGATCAGGAAGATGCGGAATGACAGCAGCATTGTCGATGCTGGAAAAGTGTGTGTGTGTGCGCGCTTACTGGTGGTCGTGTTTCCTCTGAAGCTTGGCCAATTCTCTCTGTTTCTCTTTGTAGCGGCGCTGTAGCTCAGCCAGCTGGACACGCATGGCCAGCTCCTCCCCTCCCATCGTCTCCATGGAGCCCTTTACTGGACACACCTGACACACACCACACACACCACACACACACACACACACACACACACACACACACACACACACACACACACACACACACAGATGCGCACACACGTACACAAAGCAAGGGAATTTTAATGCTGAACACAAACTGAGCTCAAAAGCCGAACGAGTAGGGCGAGTAGGAGGGTTGAACTTTTTCCAAAACTAATGTGATTTAATATGCAATTATTCTTTTCAAGCTCCCCTTCCCATGGATTTTTTTTAACAAACAAGCAATAAATAAATATGCTGAAAGTGAGAATTGTGAGGCAGACATGCTAAGCCCCAGCGCACCTTGCTGCATGCCGTAAACAATTCATTTTATATAGCAACCCCACCCCCAAAAAGTTGACTTGTGGCACATCCCTCAATAAGTACAGTGTGTAATTTACACACGAGGTACCACACGCACACACGAGGGTGAGGATCCGAGATTCAGCTCCCGAGCCCCAAAAACGCAATCAAGCGAAACCTCACCGGCTCATGGCGAGGCGCCCAGCTGCACTTCCTGCGCAAATTCAGCCGTTCCCGAATTTGACATCGTCGCTGGACTCCGCCGTGAGGAGCCCCTCCCCCCATCTCCAAGGCCCGGGCGGCCGCCAGAGTTGCCAGACTGTGCAGGTCGAAGGTCAGCACCCGCTCACCTGCGGAGAGACGGATGGCGGGCGCGCGCGGGCGGGGAAAGGGGAGGGGGGGGGAATTCAGATCGGTACGTCGCTTCAGTGACAAGACGGCTGACAAAGTTCGACAACATGTTGCGCCCGGGCGAGCTGATTGATTTTGCTCGCGCCGTCGCCGCGCCTTGAAGAGTGGTGATGTTTATGATATTAGCCGTGTAGTTTATTTGATGTATACGGCTGTTCCCGCCTAATCGCACACACAAACAACACGTGCGCGCATGCTCGCGTTGGGGGGGGCGGAGGGGAGGCGTCGTCGTGAGCAATCACTACATCTGTCAATGTCATTAGCTCCGTCATTGTCCCAGCAACAGCACATGAAGCAGAATATTCATGAGACTGTCCCCACACACAGAGACCTCCATCAATGAAATAACACACATACATGCACATTCAGTAGTTTTGCTGAGCGGCACAGACGTGCGAACGGCGCGCGAGCGCAGAGGAGAGCGGCGGCCATGCGGGGAGGGGGAGGAGAAGCAATAAGAGGTAAAGTGTTTATTGAGCTATCTATTTATTCTCCCACATCTCCTCATTATGGACGTGGACAGAAGCCAATTTAGCCTTTGGAGGAGGCCAGTGTGGAGCGTCGCGGCCTCTTCTACGAGGGAGAGGAGACGGAAGATGTAGTCGAGTTTAACCAAGCTACTAGTATGAAGCCAATATTTAGGGAAAAAAAAAACTGGGGGGTGTATCAACGTCAACATGACTGCTGTTGTCTGCAGACGAGGAAAATTAACACATGCATTGGGGGGGAGAAAAAAATAATTGATTAAAATACGATAAAATTTGAGCTGGCCAAAATTCTTTTTTAAAAAAAGTGAAACATTTAATGGGTGTTTTCCATAGAAAAACTGAGTAAAAAAAATTGGACAAATTGAGAAGGGCAAAAAACGGTGGAAAACTTTTGGTCTATTTAAGAGCACTTAATGAGGAAAATTTTTAATAAAAAGGAAATGTGAAGGAAGAGAAAACCTCTTCTGCTGATACAAAAGCTCTTGTATGTGTGCCCCCCCAAAAAATGGTGCTAATTTATACAGAGGAGAAGGTATCTTGATTCCGCCGCTATCTGTAATTACGATCTGCACACCCGCTTCTGCGATATTCTTCCGCACCAAGGAGCAGTGTGAATGCATCTGCCCGGAATCGCTTTCATCTCCCAAGCGCAGTTGCGGTGACAAAAAAAAAAAAAAAAAAAAAAAAAAAAAAATTTGCCATCGGCAGTATTAATAACATTCCACGCGGGGAAGCCAGAGCAGGTTTTTTTTTTTTTTCAAAATAAAGGTGGTGTGATTTGGTACGCGTTTTGCAAGCCGTGACAAGACTTATTGATTTCGCACCTATTACTGCACGTGCATGTGAAAGGTGCGTCGCGCACACTTGTAAACAATGCACGCACGCTGTATCTGTGTCGCGCATATGGACGAAAGTGACATATGATTTTTACACGTATTCATTCTGTCAACGAGACGAGGGATTTATGGACAAGATTACAATGGTTTAATAATAATAATAATAATAATAAATAAATAAAAACAAAGAGGTGGTGAGAAAAAAAAATGAAGCAGAGAGGCGGGAAGCAGCCTAGTGGGGAGACGCAGAGTCTGATGGAAGAGAGCGGGGATTCAGCTGGGATTACTTAACAGCTTACACACACGCACACACACACGCACATGCACGCGCGCACGCACGCAACACGCTGGCAAAAAATAAAAACACTTTCTCTCAGAGGGACAAGAGGAAAATAGGAGCGCTTACAGGAGAAGTGTTTAAAAGGAAAAGGGTCTAATTAGCAAAGCAAGACGCCAGAGCCTGGGGGACATGATGGCGTTTGTGTGTGCGCGCGCGTTGACGTGCTTTGTGTGGGCTCATTTCCAGAGAGGTAAGTCGGGTATAGCCACAAATTGTACTCAAGTAAAAGTACGCTTTACCTGAGGCTTTGAACAATACGACTCAAGTCAGAGTCAAACGTCGTGTGTGGTCATGTGACTGACAGGCTCCAATGGCAATGCTATTAATTTGTTCCAGTCTCAATCGAAATAAATGAATACATGACCATTTTTGTATTTTTGCTCCGTCTAGTGTGCCTTGGCCACTGGGAGGCAGCACAGCATAATGTAGATGTCGATGAAAATGACGAAGAAACTACTACGACTAAAAACTATACACATTTTTTTTTTAAGAGAAGATAAAGAATATATGCCTGTGGGTATATCATCCGTCTACAGAAAGCATTTTAGTGTTCACCGTAAGGATGCCGTAGGGATTTTTCCTTTATGTTAGCATTAAGCTAGTGGGCTGTTCTTAAGGCAATGCAGTTTGGTTGTTTGAGATCTATGTGTATTTTTCATTGTTTGATGTTTACTTTGACAGTAAACTCCAACTGGGACTGGCATTAAAAAGCTCCCGATCTTTTTTTTTTTTCGGATGAAAATTTCACTATTTGCCAAACTGCTGCTCATTGTGAGGTGAGTTGAATTGAGTTTATTTTCACCTCACCGAGCTAACGTTTAGCTGTCGCGAGTGGAATGGAGCTAACATAGCAAATGTCCTGTTTCAAAAATAGCAACATGAAATCTACGCTGCATTCAACATCGTCTGACTTATCCTCCCAAATCCTGAAGTCAATGTCGCGTTAATCGTCAACGGTTTTCTCGCCAATTTAGATCCCACATGAAGTTAAGATGGACTTTTGTCACCTTCATCTTGGTTCTCTTTGCTCTCCAGACTCCTCTGCTGAATCTCCAGCTCAGCCAGTTCTCCCAGGATCTCCATACCGTGGTGGACCAGGGGACTCGGAGCCCTGGCTGCGGGGGCGGGTGTGCGCAAGGCATCTCGGGTGGCGCACAAGGCGGCGGCAATGAGAAGCTCCAGGCTCCACGTGTAGGCGCCTTGCTGCTGGGCCGCCGTGCTCACGGAAGGAGGCGCGGGCCCGTCCGCGGACGGAGTAGGAGAGCGGGATTTTTCCAGCTCTTCTGGACTCCTTTCAATCTGCGTCTCTTCTTCACCGTCGGCGACCAATTCTTCATGTTGATTAGACTCTTCCTCCTCCTCTTTTCTATCCTCTGCAGGATCTTCCAGGACACCACAGTCTGTTGGTTCACACTCCATTTTTTCTCCTCCGAGCTCTTCCTTCTCAACCTCATCGTTTTTGGAGATCTCCGCTTGCTTCAGGGCTCCGCTAGCAGCCGTGGCAGGGCCGGTTGGATCCGGGACAGAAGATGGGGAAGGGCAAGGCAGCAGGCCAGAAGTGGTCTTTTCATGCTCCGGAACAGAGCATCCATCCCCCCCTTGACTTTCCTCCCCCTTTCCTTGCGCGGGTCCACTGTGGGATTCCACCACTTCACAGTCTCGCTCCTCTGCGTCCTCCGCCTCTTCCTCTTCCCTCCTGGTCTCATCTTTAGTGAGTGGCGAGATGCGGGGAAGAAGCTGGAAAGACTTTGAGTCAGGCTCCGCCGGCTGCGCTTCCTGCGAGTCTTGCTCAGCCAAGCGGGCTTCGGGCGGCGAGGGCCCGGCCTTGAAACCCATGGACAGCGGAGGCAAAGCGTAAACGGGTGGCAAGTCTGGTGGAAAGAAGACAAAAGGCCAATGAAACTTTGCTCACCAAAAGGATAAACTAGCACGTTAACGCTTTGCAGCGATCGAACAATCTTTGGGGAGAGAGAGAGGGGCGAGGGGGGGAGATTTGTATCATCTGTTCATTTTTTTTTTTTTTTTAATGTATGGCCATTCAGCTCCGGCAGGCAGGAAGAAGAATGCCATTAAAGTTGGCATAATACGCTGACAGCAGGGTGCAGATGGAACAGTGTGTGAATGTTACAGCATTCGATCCTCGGTGTGTGTGTGTGTGTGTGTGTGTGGGTGTGGTGTGAGCGGGATATTGATGACACACTGCCATTTCCCTGTGATTGCGGCACCAGCCCTGTCACCCATGCACTCCTATTATTGATGGTATCCCTCCACCCCCTGACAATGCAGCCAGATGAATGCATATCCTTCCGCCCGTACGTCTCAAGGACCCCTGAAGGGTAAGGAGGGCAGGTCTCTCACACAAACACACACACACACACTGAGGGGCCATATGCTATCCCTGACCTTAATTGCTGGTCTGACCGCTGACCCTCTTTAGCTTGCATTAAAAAAAAAAAAAAAAAAAAAAAAAAACCCCCCAAATCCCAAAACATTAGGGCTTCG